ATATATATATATATATATATATATGTACGTATAATGTAGTTTTCACGCAGGCGATGCTCGAACGGAAAACCTTTCCATTACTCTAGAGTTTGTTTGTATGGTGCTTCGTTTCTTGGAAATTGAAATTAATAATGCATTTAATTAATGCAGGTATACCACGGCAAGGCGAAGCCAGTGCGAGAGTTCAAATATTATCACATAAATTCGTCCACTGGAAATGTTTCAGTTTCTAAATTTCAACCGAAATTCCGCTCGTTTCCAGTGCAGTGTAAATTCACTGTTTCAACACGTCCTCGGCAAGGAGCAAAAAAAAATTTTTTTTTTTCTTTTTCATAATTAGCTCTCCCGCGCGTTTTGACATTTTTTCCGAGCAAGGATTTCACAAGTGCGACGAAAACACCGAAAAACCTGCGCTCCCCTCGCTGTAATGAAAAACACTCGCAGCAGCAGCGCCACTTGAGACGCTCTTTTTTTTTTTTTTTTTTTTTTTTTTTTCCTTCGTCACCACCGCCACCGCGGTCACAGCACAGGTGTGCGCACACTAATGTGCACCGAGTCCCGAGGCAAAAAAAAAAAAAATAAATAAAGTACGTGCGTAAGCGATGCCTTAGATTCGCCGGTGCGTGCCTTGTTGTGTGCAAACTTATCCTCGATAATGAAATGCACCGGGTGAGATGAGTACACGAAAAAAAAAGGACTGTCGTAAGGTGGTGTAACACAATAAGAGGGAGTTGGGGTTGCGCGGAGTCAGCAGTTTTTATTTGATATAATACTTATAGTATTTACGCAACGTAATCTCGACTATTATTAGGATGATTTCTTGGGACTTGGGTATTGGGTAATCGATGGTGGGAGAAAGTAAAAATTAATTTTTTTTTTTGTTAAAAACACGCAATTTAAAGTCCACACATCGTTACAGCACCACCGAAGAGAGAAAAAAAAAGAACTTACAGGCGTATGTACATTAAAAGAATTTTTCAAAATATTTTTACACACTTTTTGACTTCAAAACGAGACAAAAAAACGTCAATTCTCAAATTGGAAAGAAACATTTCACCATTTCTACCTTTTCTCCTCGAGACGCTATTGAATTGTTTTCCAAAGAGCACGAAAGAAAAAAAAAAAAAAAAGTATAGGGTTGCGATTGCAAATTGCAAGAGCGACTCGTCAAGTTACACAGCAACCCTGTGTCCCTCATATTCTTGCCAAGTGAATCTGCACTCCATTGTTAGGACAAGACAGCGCCGATCCCATACGTGCTACCTTCGGTGAATACACTGCATCGAAATTGGCACCCAAAAAACGGCACTCGGAAAATCAAGCTCTGCTCGCCGGGCGATAAAAATCGCCAACACTTCCGAGAATTGATTCCAGCCGGCCCACCCGTTTCCTAGCTCTTGCCGCGTTCGAAAAATGAAAGCAAAGAAAAGAAGAATTCTCATGCATAAAAGCTCTTGCGTATATATATGTTGTACCTTAAGCACAGAAATCCATCAGGCGTGCAAATGTGCCTCTTCAATCGCCTCCGAAAAGTAACGGACGGTATAAATATAGTAAAGGCTTTCCTCTTGATGCGAGCTTTATCGTGCGCGCCGATGCCGGCGAATAAATTCTCCCCTTATCGACGAATAATCCATTGCCTTCCTTTTTCTCTGCACTTTTCTACCACCATTTCTATACATATTGTTACATTGTACATACAACGTGCGAGTTCTTAAAGCTTCTCTGCTGGATGCTGATTTTCTTACGCTTGGGTTGTACCGTTTGGGCCAAGTACCAGAATTTTGGAAAATCAGTGCAATTGACGTAGAGCGGAATCAAAAAGAGCTTTCAATCACCAAAAACAATGGTCAACATATGCGTGGTTAAAAAGAAGAAAAAAACTCATATTTTTTATACCTCTCCACGCCTATACTTGCCACTATACAAAATTGGTTCGATGTTTAGGATGTATAGCCGACATGGACTTACCGAAGTACAATTTACCACCACTGCTTATCAATGCGTCCATATTGTAAATTCATCGTTGGTATTTTGCTTCTCAAAGAAAAGCCACACAGCTCCAATCGTGAGTACGTGGTTGAACTATAGTCGTAGTGTACTTTTCAAGGGCATTTACACTTACCTACTGTTTTCATATTACAAATGAAGCGTGATCAAGTAGCTTAAAAAGTTACTTGACCTCATTAATTTTTCATTTTATTCACGCAAGCACAATGATTGGGCAGTGATTGACCGAATTTAATTATATTTTAATTAATAACAACAAAACTCCAATGAGTGACAAGCCAAGCTCAGAGGGAGTGAACATAGACACGAGACAAAGAGGGAGGAGGCGGGGGCGAGCACACTACATAACACCAAGGGACAACCCCAACAAAGGGTTGCGGCGTCAACAGCAACAAAAGCGGATTTCAATGTCATTGTAGCGGTGGGAGGGTATATATGCCACTGAAGTCCCTTCGTTCCCCTGGCTCCTTTATTTTACGTGAATGTGCATGTACGTGTATGTTGAGGCAAACAAACAATCGCGTGAGTGGAAAAACCTACACACCATATAGTTAGCTACTGTATGTGACAACACTGAAGCTCCTGGTCTACCCTCCATGGATACACCCCCAGCAAACAGGTAGGGATGAGCCTCGCAACTGTCATCTCTTTGGGTGTTGTATGTACATTTTAGTGTTGGATTGCACATTGCGCAAGCTTTCAGCTTGGACTGACAGTTTATTAATCAGTGTAAAATTTTCTACTCAATAGTTTGGCTTCTATTAAGTTTCTGGTGTAGAATAAAACCAATGACTTCATTGGCAGTATAGGGAACATTCATTGGATTTTGATCTACAGGTAGCTATGTGATTATATACTTACGGATAAGCTGATTCGTGCTAGATGCAACAATACGTGTCTTACAAGAGAAATTTGACAGTACAACTATATATTATGTTTGTATGCGTACGGATGTATCCATATCAAGTGTTGATTCTCCTGCAAATACTAAAAAACTTATGTGAGCATCCTATTGCAAGCCAATGGTACCTCATACTATAATGGGTAGTTGATTAATTAAGGGGGCTCCTGCGACTATCCCTGAGATCAAATATGACTAAAAGTGTATATAACAGTATCTATCACATACTCCATTACAAATTATTAAACTTCAACCCGTACGAATTCGAACTTTTTCAAATCTCGCGCGACAAAGTGAGCCACTATATCTGCAATCTATGTAACCTCGTGAATTAATTATAAATTTTCATCACAAATTTATCGCTAAATTGTCCCATCACCCTCAATTTTTAATGTACCACGTTGAAGACAAAGACTTAATGACAGTTAATTTAGCTTATTACAAACATAAAACAACATATGGGGTGGAAATCAGGCCAGCATAGGATTCAGCGAATTTTCTTCCATTAGAACCGGTATATCTATTTTTGGGGACTTTCGTGAATGAGCCCCCTTAAATAGCAAAATTGTAAAATAAAAAATTCCCCTTAAGAATAAAAACATAACAAAAATAAGATCAAATAGTTTGGATAAGATATTTTTTTATTTACGACGTAAGAAGTAACCTTATAAAATAAAGATATTCACTGAGGTTTTTTCCACCAGCAAAGGGTACTAATGATGTTGGGCTTTCCTCATTTGTGCAAGGATGTTTCCAAGTTCTTCACGCTTCCTCTTAGCACGAATGTGAGTTCCCAACTGAAAAAAAATATTTCAAGTTATTTGATTATGCTGACATAAAAAAAAAGCATTTCAATGTTAAAAAAATCTTGAGGGTAAAGTTATTCTTAATACCATCAGATATCAGGACATAGTAATAAAATCTTTTATCTTCTGTTTATAATTCGAAATTGTAAGAATAATTATCAAATACAACTTTCTATTATATAGAATTTTTGTAGTATAAATGTAACATAATAAACAAATGACATACCCTCCTTTTCAAAAATTTGAGAGCTCGCTTATCCTTGGACACCTTCAACAACTCCATAGCGCGCTTTTCATAAGGAGCATGTCCAGTAACTTCACGAATCAGGTCACGAACGAATTTGCTATGTTTGGTTATTTGCTGAAATTGATAAAAAAATAGTTATTATATTGCTCTCACACAATAGTACTAATCACTTTGATGTGCCATACATACTTAATAACTTTGACTAATAAATACAAATAATGACATGTACACCAGCTAATGAAGTTATTGATTGTCAACAATGTAACAACAATATTGTAATATTAAAACGTAAGACTATCGAAACTCCGTGTTTTCAACTATAACTTTAAAACGGCAATTGCCTCAATGATGTAGCCAACGTGAGCATGCTATTCTGATTGTTTACAGACTATATCAAATAAACAAACCATCAAACACACTCAAAATTAAATAAACACCATGCACCCTAACCTAAAAACAACAAATTAACAACACTTACTCCCTTCAGTCTCGAGGGTCTCAGGACGATGGTCTTTGATTTCTCGGCCTTCTTGAGCTTGGTCTTGGCGACGGTTATCTTCGTCGTCTTGTGCCCTTTCCTGTCTTTAAGGCCAACGGCCAGCTCGTACCTCGGTGCCATGTCTGGAGCAACAGAATAAACAATAACACGCAGCGATTAGTATTGTAAGGTTACGGCCTAGACTGACTTACTTGCGACACTTTTTGAACTTTGGGTGAAAAAAAAAGGAATATCACGATATCGAATGAACTTGTTGGGAATATGGGGAAACTAGAGTAATTAGGCTTTGTTGTTTTACGTACGCAGAGTCAATGTTTATTAGGATTTATTGGATTAATTAAGATTAAACATTACCGATGAACCTCGCGAACGTCCGTTTCGCGCAAGAAAAGGCTGCTCGTCGAATGTCGAACAGTTCGGAGTTCGGTAAAACAGCCGCGAGAGGACGCACCGGTAAATATACCGCGAAAATTTGAATTTCACTAACAAGAAATTTGGTTTATTGGGTACGTACATAAGTATGGAGTAAAAATATTTTTTAGTCAAAAAGAACCTTTTTTCGTTTATTTACCGTCACGTATCTCACACAAGTAAAGGGTTATTTTCCAATGCAAAAGTTCTGGAAAATCGTATCCAAGATTTCTTCAGTACTGACGTAGCCCGTGATTTTCCCAATCTCACGAGCTGCCTTGCGAATTTCTTGCGCTGCAAGAACAATATCGTAGTTCTCTCGGGATATCATGTCAAAGTACTTCAAGAGACATTCGTGACAGTCTCGGACGTGGTTCCTGTGCCTCTCTTGGCTAATTGTTGGATTCTCTGCTGATGGATTGCCACATCTGAAAATTAAAATTAAAACTAGTTGTGCATAGCACCAAATAGTAAAGTTGTTGTTCAACGAAACTAAAAGACTGTAGCTTACATTTTTTCAAAGTACTCTCTCATGGACCCCAACAAATCTTGAAATCCTTCTTCGTTGGTGCAAGAAATACCAACTGAATTATGCGCCTTCAAGGACTCTTTCACGTCATTGGCTAACAAATCTATTTTATTTACAACAATCATACAGTTGCTACTCAATTGTCCATTTACCAGCAGCAAGTCCTCCAATTCTAAAGTCCTAATATAATTGATCAGGTATTGATCAAAACTCTTTTGCTCTTTCGCGTACTCCTCTGCATTGACAACCAACACAATAAAGTCGGCTTTGATAGCCTGATCTCTTGCCCTCCTTATACCCTCCATTTCAACAATATCATTTGAAAATTTGTGCAAGCCAGCTGTATCTGCCAACAGTATTGGGTAGCCAGCAACATTTGCCGTCAGTTCGACGACGTCTCTCGTTGTGCCTGGAATTGACGTCACGATCGCTGCGTTTCTCTGAACCAAACAGTTCAACAAACTACTTTTGCCCACATTAGGTTCACCAATAATGACTGTCCTTATGCCACTACGCAATATCTCTCCTTTCCTACCATCAGCCAAGTGTTTCTCGATCTTACTGGCAAGATATTCTAAATCGACGTTGCATTGTTGAAAAACGTCACTCTGTATGTTATCCTCCTCGCCAAAATCTATGTAGGCTTCGATGTACGCCAGACATCGCAAAAGAATCTCCCTCCAGCTGCTGTAAAAGGTACTGAGATTACCATGTGCCTGAATCAGAGCCTGTTTCCTCTGCTGTTCAGTTTCAGCATGGATAAGATCTGCCAGGCCTTCGATTTCAGTAAGGTCTAACTTGTTGTTGAAAAAAGCACGTCTGGTAAACTCTCCCGGCACTGCAGGACGAAATTTTATCTTTGATAGTGCTGTCATCAAAGCTGAAAGGATCGCCACTCCGCCGTGGACTTGGAACTCGACGCTGTCCTCACCAGTAAATGAATGAGGTCCTACGAAAATTCTTACTGGATGGATTTCGAATTCTTAATTTAAAAATTCCAACAATATAGAATAGACTCTTACTTGGAAACCAAAGACATAAGCCTTGATCAATGACTTCACCAGTTTCAGGATTTTTTATGTTCCTCAAATAAGCTTTTCTTGGTTCAAGCTTGGAAATATTTGTCATTTTTTCCAATGCTGCTCTGGCATTGCTGCCTGATATTCTCACAACAGCTACTCCACACTTTCCTTGGCCTGTAATAAAATAAAAAGATTGTTTTGATACTTAAAAAAAAGTTGCATGGCTTTAAAATATAACAAGCCTATTTACCAGATGAGAGAGCAAAAATTGTTGAACCACTGTTTGCTGCTTTGCTTAAAAATGTTCTGCTTGCAAGATTAAATTTTAGCAAGACAATGCTCACTCTGAAGAAATGCTTGGTAAGAAACATTTTTCACGCATAGCTGTTCCAGCTCTGCTCTATACGTACGCAAAGTGTACGGTTCACACTACTTTTTAAACAAATCCTTGAAAAGTATACCGAAAAATAATTTTTACAAAAAAAAAATTTCACCGTTGTGATCACCCGAACTTATAATAAATAAAACATAATCATGTATTACTACTACACAGCGATTGTAAAGTCACTCCAAAATTCAAGCGCAGTTAAACAATAAATACATATACATATCAAACTCTATCATTTATCTTTGGTTTTAGAATAAACATTTTCATACTCGAATAGAAAACACAGAGTATTCAAGTGTGCGTGTTCAAATATGCACATGATCTTCGAACGTTCGAACTTCGAATTCTTTGAAGATGAAAAAAAAAAAAAAAAAAAAGACAATAGCAGCCGACAGTCGACAGTCAACAGCCGACTGTTTTGTTTGTATGTTTGTATATAGGTATTTGGAATTGTTTTTTTTTTTCCTCGAGCTTGCTATCCCTCACTGTTTGCGAGTGCACCTGACGCGCTTTAAATTTTATTTTTCCCTCCCGATCTCCACGTCGTTTTTCTATCGAGTAAATATTTTCAACACAATCGAGTGCACACAAATTCAAAAAAAAAAAAAAAAAAAAAAAATTTACCAGCCCCTTCAAAGGACGATCACGGCAACACCGAGAGGCAGAGGCTGCGAACTAAAACGGCAAAAAAAAATAAATAAATAATCTCGTTGACGCGGAAGCGCAGCGATGGACGAAAGAACGACGAGAAATTACGCGAGAGCTCAAGGACGCGGTGGTGCGAGGGAGGAAAAAAAAAGGGGGTGGAACAAAAACAGGAAGCGTATACATTCGAGCCGCCTCGCACACAGAGTTTACTCCCTTTCTGGCCCACGGCGCGGCGCTTGTATACATATACACCTATACAATGCAAAAGCTCTCGTTGCAGCGTATGTACAGCAAAACGATCGACGGCTCGCGTCGAACGACCGGACGGGGTGAAAAACAAAAATAGCTGTGTAGAAGCTCCACTCGGGCTCCAGGCGCATTATACACATACATAGCTGCGCAACGCGGGCTGATTAAATTCCTGCAGCAGTTGTACATATATATATATAGCTACACACGCAGGATGTACGATATCCTCTCTCGATGGTATCATACACGCATTGGCTGTGATGTACGTGTATACTCGCGTACGCACGGATCAAAGAAAATAAAATGATTTTTCAACGCAATTAAAATTAATGGCCATCGAATCGACGTTTGTCACGACAGGGGGGCTCGATAATTCGCCCGTACAAGGGCCGTTGTAGCTGGCCATTATAGCCATTATACAACACCTATACGAGATGAAAGTGGATAACCTCCCCGGTGGCTCTCGAATGCCATCGTCCTTATGGCACCTGTGACTGTACCATATAATATACATGTACTCTCGCAGCGGCCGGTAGTGGTATATAGCCGTGAGGAATGCGATTATTACATAACTCGCCGCTGGACATGTATTGCCATCGGTATCGACGATATCAGGGAGAAAAGGCTGCGGGGGTGGCGGAGGGGGGCCAATCCGAATGCCTACGATTCCGGCTGTCGGTGAAACGCGTTATCAGAGGGAGTGAGGGAAAAGAGGAGGAGGTAATGCTTCCACCTTCTCGGGCGTGCTTGGACTCGCTAATTGCAGAGGCCCCGCGCGATCGTGAAATAATGCAAGCGCTCGCTCGTGTGTGTATGTATACATGTATACCCTACACTCCGAAGTGGTGGTGTGTGGCTGCTGGATGCCGGTGGGTGATGTGTATATGTACGGGAAGGCGAGCTTTGAATCACCGCGTTATATGAGACGGACCGCCGTGACGAAGGTGAGCTACGTTTCGTGAATTTGCTCGTACCGTACTTTTTCTTGTTTTTTTTTTTTTTTTTTTTTTACACACCTACTTAACATTTTCGGGGTGTTTATAGGATTTCATTGACGTAAATGCTTTTGTCATCACAAACAAACTATAATTTCAAAGTTCGATGCGTACCTATACATGATTTATACATGATAACATTTTCGTGGAGCCAAGGGGGGGTAAAAATAAAATTTGTCTAAAAACTCCAGCGTAACTCTATTACCGTGGAGGCTGCTCGTGTACCGTTCGTGGCGTTGAAAAAAATATTTCACGGTGAGCGAAAAAAAAATTAAAAATGAAATAAAATATAATAAACTTCAAAGAGCGAAAATTTCAAAGCTGGTATATACTTACGCACCTTTGTAAAATAAATCCGGTGTTGACGACAAAAGCAAGTGATGAACCTAACATTTTTAAGAAAAACTCTGTGAAAAAAACTAATAATAATAGTAAAACGTTGATTGCCGAGAGTATAAAGGCTTGCGTTTGGACAAGCGACCGCGCGTCTACCCCGATAACCTGTCAAAGCCAGCGGCATCAGTTTTACGGTATATATATATATCGATGACGAGAGAAAGTGCAGGGAAAACCCAAAAAAAGAGGACGAGGGAGAGGAGGAGGACGTGGGAATTTTCGTGTATTTTCTAATTTGTCGCCTCGAAAGTTTGACGCGCACAGAGAGCGATAGCCCACATACCCATAGCAAAACGAAATGACAAACTACATATATATATATTCCTATGAATGCGCGTACACGTGTAATACATGCAAAAGGGACACTCTGTGTACTAATAGCAACACCAATCCCACAACAAAGGGTCGCATAACGAGAATTTCCCGTGTCGCTGGTTTTATGGGTCGCTGCAGTACTCGGATGTATATGAAGTTCCGCGGCTGATGGGTGTTTCGCTATACCTATTTCCCGGCATTGCGCTCTATATATATAAATACGTACGCCCGTGCCACCATGTGACCGGCAATTTCTTTTGCGTTCGTCTATTCGAACCCATCGCGATTAATTTGGATGTAAGGTCAACTTGTTTGTGGAGAAAATTGTCGTTTCGTTTGGTTTGCACAATCAATCGCTCGTTACCTTGTACGCTATGGGAAAATAAAAACAATATAAAAACTTTACCGCGCTGGAATTATAATCTGTAGTATCGTTTCGTCGTCCAGGGACTTTTTACTTTTGGCGATTCTCGACAGGGATTTTTTCTTGCACAAATATTAATCAGTGTACCTACTACGATGGAAACACTGTAAAATCCAAGTGTGTGAAATTTTTGTTTGCATAAGAGGCATAGTCTTGATAATTTAGAACAACCAAGTTGATGCTTCGTAAACTATTTCATCAATTCTATCAAGCTAAACCATCTTTTTCTTCTGCGATTGACATAAGAAGGCTGTAGAGAGTAAAACACTTCTGTCACAGACTTTTTCACTCCACAGCTTTCCTAAATTGATATTTTCCATTAAAAAAGTATCCAGTTTAGTGGAACTGGTTTACCACTTGGTGTTCCATAGATTCTTTAAATTCTTATCCCCATCTCCTTCAAATACTCGGTAGTCTATTGACCACGATGTATTTTATTATAAAAAACGAAAATTGTAACTACACATTCTAAATGTATAATTTAACAAGCTTGGGATTACAGTAAATTACTGTTTATAACAGTACAAAAAAAATTTTTATAATCCTACACGGCGCGACCACCCAAGCGCGCAGTAATGTTCAATTTCTAAAATCCAACATCAGTCTCGGGCCGATTTTCCAGCTGCGAAACACAAACTTCGGGTCTTGGGTAACAAAAGGCGTTTCTCGAGAGGAGCCCCCAACCTTCGGGGAAAAAAAATCTGGGCGCACTTGGTTTGGAAAGATCGTCAATCGGCGTTGTTTGTACAGCCGTCCTGTCCCGGCTACATGAATTTTTCACGAGTCCACAACGGTGAAAATTTTTTCGCGAGCCTCTCTCATGGAAACTGTTAAATCTCTCCAAGGATTGTTACTTTTTCATTCCTTTTGTTATCATTCGAGATTCGAGATCGGCTATGCCGATTTTTTTAAATTGTTGTTGTACTCCCTCCTGCCTTATCGTTTGAAAATAAAAATAAAATAATAACAATAACGGGAGTGCTTTCGTCTGGCAATATATTATGCTTACGGCCTCTTTTTTTTTGAGCCACAATGTTTTTTCCCCGTCACCACTTAAATTACACGAAAATCCTATTTCTAATGATAAATATCACGTTTTCTCAGTTACCCTTTGATTGACTCCAACAAAATTCCAAGTGTTTGATCGGTCAACAGTGTGATAACAACTTTGCTAATTCGGGACCACGCTCTAAGTCAGATTGGCTTAAAAATCCGACTTACGATGGTACTTTGCCTTTGTGATAATGTATAATAATGTCTCATTATAACGTGACGTCTGAAAAAATTTTTTGCTAGTAAAACTCCCCGCAAAAAATAATTTAACTCCGGTGCATTGATCTAATGGCTTCTCGAAGCATGAAATTCTTTAAAGCTAAGCAGTAAATTTTTAACGCGTAATTTCTTTAAACGAAGAAAAACAACCGATGCGCGTAAATATTTGCTCGGCTCGCATTACATTGTTCGCGCGTGCATAAAATTGTATACGTGTTGTTGTTGTTCTGCCCATACACAGCGCAATATTTTCACGCATTACTTGCGGAAGAATCGCTTTGATGGGTAAATAAATCGTATGCGCGCGTTTCCTTTTCCCGCGGGGAAAAAAAAAAAAAAAAAAAATTCGCATAAACTCGGGTAAAAATATCATCCCTTGGTCAGAAAAATAGAGCGAGGCAAGGAAAAAATTGGGCTTGCGAGACTCATTAATTTTCGCGAGAATTTTGCTTTATTGCGTATAGCTAGCTCGGGTCGCGCTCGCCCTTCGCGCGAAAGCAGAAATAGAAAAATAAAAAAAAGTTCAAACATCCCATCCAAAGCGACTTTTATCCACCCTCTCGAGTTATGCGATGCTGATAATAGGTACCTATACCCCGAGTGGGCGCATGAAACGTCGAAAAAGGTACGAATTGCTCGGCAAACAACAAGTCATAATTAAAAGTACACAGTATTGAACTACACGTGCATCGGGTAAATTTATATTTTGAGCAATCGATGATTAAGTTTGCGTTTCATTTCACGTCCCACCCGCTCTCGAATCCATAATATATATATATATATATATATAT